TACTGAATTTTGTCTTTTAGTGGGCTTTTGGGATTTTTGGGGTTATTTTCTTCTACCTTATATATACCCCCATTGCATCTATTATTTCATATATCATGAGAGTGTTTTAAACAAGTTTAATAAAGTTTTAACAAGGGTTTAAGTTTTTGTTTAAGTTTGTTTAAGAAGCTTTTAAGCAATTAAGAGTTTGATTTTGTGAAATCAATTTCACAAGAGGTTGAGGAGATCATCTATTGGTGTTTGAGCATCCAACTATTCTTCCTCTATCTCTTGATCCATTTAGAAATTTTCTAAACTCTATTTCTAGCTTTTTTTTATATATATTTGTTTATCATTGTTATTAAGTTAGAATTATATTGAGTTTAGTTTTGATTTATATCTCTTTGTTCATACACAACCCTTGAGCTTATTGTATTTACATTCATAGTATATTTGGATTGTAGGTTTGTGACATAGAGTGTGAGCTTAATTGAGTTCTCGTTTATTATAGAGAATAAATCATTTGTTGTATTGTAAGCCTATTTGTGAAGATCACTTTGTAATACACTTGTACACCGAAAGGAGTGTGTGGTAAGAGACAGGGTCATCCCAAGAGGAGTGAGGTAGGTGGTAATGCCTAGAGGTAGGTTGTAATTCCTAACACTTGAGGGGGACACGGGCTAGAGACTAACACTTCAGAAGGTGTAAAGTGTGATTGCAAGAGTGTGTTATTGTGAGGTGTAAACGTTGTTCGGGTTAGCATAGAAAACCCGAGTTTGATAGTGGAGATCTCCTCAAGGTGAGGAGAGGAGACGTAGGTCAAGTGGTTTACCAAACTCTATGAACATATCGTATGTTTGAGTTTGCATTGGCGTACTTACTCTTGTGTTTATATTTCTTATCGCCATTGTCCATTGCTCATTATTTATATCATCCACTATCTTGTTTATTTAGGGTGGTGCTTCTGGCGCGAAGACCATTCAGAGTTTGAATATCCACTCTATGAAGATAGATGTGGAGAAATTTAATGGCACAAACAACTTTAAATTATGGAGATGCGAGGTTTTGGATGTGTTGAACGCGCAGAATTTGGAGGATACCTTCAAGTTAGATGGCAAGCTAGGTGATATTGAAGAGAAGGTTTGGAAGAAGATAAATCGAATGGTGTGTGGTGTGATTAAGTCTTGTTTTACTCAAGATCTAAAATATGATGTGATGAATGAGACTTCTGCGAAGAAGATTTGGGAGATTCTCAAAAGCAAGTATCTAACAAAGAGTATTGAGAATCTCTTGCATTTGAAGAGGAGACTTTATCGTTTCCAGTTGAAGAATGGAACCTTAATTAGTGATCACATGAATACCTACATAAAGCTTCTTGCGGATTTGGCGAATATGGATATCATGATTAAAGATGAGGACAAGGTGTTGCTATTGTTGAGTTTCTTACCCGACGAGGAATATGAGACCTTTGTTCTTACTCTGATTAATGGGAAATCATCTCTTTCGTATAGTGAGGTGACTGTTGCACTTGTGAATTATCAGCTTCGAAAGAAGGATAAGGAGACTTTAGTTGATCCGGTAGCAGAGGTGTTGGCTGCAAGAGGGAAGGGTCCAAACCGGAAGAATTAGAAGTCACAGTCTAGAGTAGGATATCCTATAATTAAAAAAGATCAATGTGCTTGGTGCAAGGAGACTGGTCATTGGAAGAATGACTGCTCTAAGCTTGACGAATGGATGAAGAATAAGCAGAAGGAAAAAGAAAAGCAAACATCATTATATCAGATGGTAATATTTCTGACTCTTCTATTTATTCGCTTTCTATCAGTCCTACAGATAGCTATTCGGAGAAATCTGAATGGATGTTGGATAGCGGTGCGATCTATCATGTGCGTCCTAGAAGGGAATGGTTCTCCAGTTTTGAGAAGCTGGATAGTGGTGTGGTGTACATGGCTGATAACCGTATATACCAGATCCTTGGGATAGGAAGAATTCGTATCAAGATGTTTGACGGGACTGTTAAGGAGTTATATGATGTGAGATATGTTCCTTCCTTGAGGAAGAACTTGATCTCAATTGGAGCTTTGGTTGGAGAGGGTCTGAATGTTCGAATTGAGGACATGATTCTCAAGATTGTGGAAGACTCTCAGATTATGATGAAGGGCGTCAGGATGAATAACTTGTATTACTTGACTGGAGGTATAGTGACAGGTGGAGAAGTGGCGATTTCTATTGATTCGACTAGACTGCAGCATTTGGGGCTTGGCCATTCCAGTATTGATTCCTGGCATAGATTGAAAGAGGGTGCAAAGACCTACAGTTTAAAGTCCAGTGAACATGTTGATGTGAGCAAGAAGACTGAGGTAAAATTTGGCACCTCTATTCACCGTGCTAAGGGTCGTTCTGGAGGTGTTCACGTGAATGTTTGGGGGCCTTCCAAGGGGGCATCATTGGGAAGTAATATATGTTTGGTTTCCTTTGTTGGTGGTTGTTCTAGACGTGTTTGGGTTGTAACTAAATCCTTATTGGAGAAAGTCCTAGTAGTCTCTAACAGATTGGAGAAGTGTATGATAGACAGAAAGGTGAAGGTACTTCATTCTGGTTTTGGTGGGAGGTACAATATGGATCTATTTTTGTATTGGAGCCGATCTCATGGCATTTCGAGACACTTCGTTGGAAAGAAAATCTTGGGGCAACTAGATAGGGTGACAAATTTGGAGAACCGTGCCTTGCTAGAGGAGGATCGTTGTTTGTTATCAAGCAATGATCTGCAAAAGAGTTTCTGGACTGAGGCTTTGACATATTTAGGTCATCCTATTAAAGAGTTGTCATGTGCTGTGATAGGAGGTAAAACTCAATTGGGTGTTTGGTCTGGTAGTGTCACTTCGGTTGAGGCTTTGATGAGGGAGCTAATTGACTCTCTCAGTAGGTGAAGAGTTTTGGACAGATCTTAAATGTATCACAGCTGGTGGAGAGTGATACTACTCCATATTAGGTGTAGATTACTCTACATACTTCAGATCATACTGTATCGTTTGGGATTCCAGCTGAGGTGACACAGTTTGGAGATCATTTGGTTTTGGATGCAGATGATAAGTTGGGTTTTGATTCGAGTGCAGCTGATAGATGTAGTTTAGATATGGCCATTGGTTCACCTCAGTTAGAGGTGTTTGATTCGTTACACTTTGAGGCCGTTAGAGGTGCTATCAGCCGCAGAGTTGATGATATTAGAGAAGGGTTGCGAACTCTTCTATTGGATTGAGGTCGTTCGCGGCCGTTTGGGTGAACTACGTGAATGCTTGATTTCTTGGGCAAGAGGATACGTAGGTAGTCATTTTATGATGCAGCCGATTTGGTGAGTAGACACCGACGTATGGAGAGTGATCTCATTCTCATTTGGTTCTCGACTTATTGTGGATTGAGTCCGTTGTCGTGAATTGTTTCACGGCGTACTAGACACAACAAATGAGATATTTGGTTGCTTTGGTGTCTGCTCAGTTTTGAGAAAAAAAATTCGCCGAGGTGAAGAATTGTGAATAGGAAGAGTGGGGGCCACCCACGTGCGAAACCAAGTGCCAAACACTGTTTAGTTTCCACGTGCGTGATGGCCCACCCAAAACGTAAGTTGAGCTTTATAAATACAGCCGGCGTTTTTCCCTAGGTTGTGGGCAAGGAGAGAATAGCATAGAGAACAAGCGGCGCAAGGCTGTGTGAGGTTTTTGGCGGCTGTGTGAGGTGAAATACAGAGGGTTCTTGAGCGGCTTTTGAGTGCGGAATTGAGAGATTGGTTGAGAATTATTTGTGAGATCTTGTGTGGTTGTAAACCTATTTGTATTCTTTTTCTCTCTAATGGTAGATCTCCCCCTCTTTGCCCCGTGGACGTAGGTAATTTGCCGAACCACATAAAACTTGTGTTATTTGCTGTTTGTGGCCATTGTAATAGTTTATTAGGTTCCCTCGACAAGTCAGTCCTAGAATTGATGAGAGGAATAGCTGATATCTCACTTTGTTGAGATATTCGCTTCAGATTCTTGTTTCCTTAGTGAGACGGGAATTTTTATTGCGATCTTTCTCTCTTATTGTGCACCAGAAACTCTGCGAAATTTTCGCTGTGCACAACACTAGATGACACAAAAAATCAGAATTGACTAGTTTGGACATGTAAATATAATGGAACATATACCCTCTTATGTTGACGTTTCCCAAACTTATGCTACGCATTTGCCCAATATGAGTTGAACATCGCTCCACGCTTGACAATAGTACTTGCCATACTGAAACAACGCTGAGTTACATTGAAATATGTAGTGTATGATGTACTACAATAGCATATAGTTAAGAAGCTACATCGCTAGATAACGCAATTAACCACCAACGTGTTTCTCCGACGATGGACGTTGCCAACGGAACCAAACATAGGTTAAATTAGATTGCGTCATACTCACAGTACCCCCGGAGGATAATACATGAGTGTATCTTTAATTCTTTGTATAACTTTATAAGAATTAAATAGGGTTAGAGATCCATCATGATTAAAAGATTGAATCATATTCTAATTAGGAAGTTAGGCTAGAGATAGAATTTTGATTTCTCTATATATATTCTTCTATTATTGAAAGAAAAACCAAGCAAAGGAGAAGGGAGAGACAATATTCTTGTAATGTAGGGTTAGCAGAGGACGTAGCTTGGTTCAAGAATATTGTGCGAGAGGCGAGAGTTTCATAGTCTTTATCCTTGCAAAAGATTACATCATTGGGAGATGGTTTCGTAATCTTTATCCGTTCAAAAGATTATAAGGAGAGGGCTTTGGAGATAATATGAGAGTTGGTTACGTATGTGAGGTTGAGATATTGAGAGATGGGAGTTGAGTGGTTCCTCTTGTAGTTCTCCCTGATACATATATAGTGGATTTATCATATTGTTACCTGTGGACATAGGTCGAAGTTGGTGGACCAAACTACGTAAATCTTTGTGTTATTTCTTCTTGATTGTGATTGTTTTATATCTTATTGATTATGTGTTGCTTTCTGAATTGCGCAAATCATAATAGGCGGGGAGACTAAAATTCCTAACAATACAAGCATTTCCCGTTGCCATACAAAACGCACCAAAACTCAATTAACCATCGCCATACAACATAACATTACTGAATACCGCTCTCCTTATTGTTAATTTCATAGCCCCACCACAAGCTATTATCACCAGACTCAACACAACCTCACATCTTGATCGCAGCGGCGGTCTTCTGCCACGCCGGCCGTGCTGATACAGCGTCCCACCACGCCTTGACGTGGGGCCGGGCGGTGACGAGGTCTAGCTTCGGCGTCATCATCAGCGTGGAGACGCACGGCATGTGGTTGAGATCCACGAGGCTGAACTCGTCTCCGGCGAAGTACTTGCTCTTCGATAGACACGCCTCGTAGACGTCGAGGACTTTGCCGAGCTCTGCGGAGAGAGATTCGACGGTGGCAGGGTCGGTGGTCATGCCGATCATTGGTTTGAAGAGGACCTCGAAGAGGAACTTGGCGACGGGCGGGTTGAAGTTCTGGGACTCAGACTCGAGCCAGGACTCGAGGGCCGCGAGCTCGGCCGGGGTTTTTGAAGGGAGGAGGTCCACGCCGGTATGCTTGTATTGGACCGCGATGTAGCGGTTGATAGCGCGAGATTCTGGTTGTCGGGTAAAGAAACTTTTAGTAACTAGTTGAACAATCACTCGAAATGTTTGAAAAGTAAAATTTACTGAAATTTGTAGTTTAGCAAGAGCTGACGAAGGGCCTATTTGGCAACTCGCGGCTCTACTAGCTGGTATTATTGTGAGAAGAATTGTGTATATAAAAGCGTGTTGCTACAGGGACCAAAAGAATTGAGATAGGTATGGGGACAAGTGAGGTGTCAACCTCACCTTGCTCATTATGCAAGGTGAGGTTGACACCTCACCTATCCTACTACCTGTCCCATTTTTTAAGGTTTTGTTAGCCTTTTTCTTTATAAAAAACTGAGTCAAGAGCGACTCTTAAACTTGTTCTCTTGTGGTTGATTGGGCAAGGATTCTTTATATTCTTGAACGTAGAGAACTTTTACAAGTGCTTATGCGAATGAATAGTACTCACTCATTCAGTGGCCCCACAATTCAAAAAAATTTATTTAATGCGTATAATAAATATCATTTATGGATCTACTGAATGAGGAATTGTGATTAATAAATTATAGAGAGGCTCTACAAACAAGAATGTAGTCTCAACCTCAAACTACAAAAGAACAAGTATAGAATAAAATTAAACTAGAATTGATCCTGACCCAATTTTAAAAGAGTTGTCAAACACACCCTTCGTGTTTTGATGCAACTACATCAATCTTGAAACTCCAATGAAAAGTCTTTGGAATAAAATTGACTAAAGTAAAGTTAGGATTAGTTGCACTCTAGAAAATTATCCACTTGTTACCCTGAATTTTTTTATTAACACTGAAACTCCCCATTTTCCCAAATTGTTTCTACCAGGTGATCTAAGTGCTAATTTAGAGATAACAGTGCCTATGGAAGTGCTTTAAAATCATAAAATAAGTAAGGGGTTTTTGCCTTCCACAGCTTCACCCTAATTTACTTTTAAACCCAAGTTATTTAATACGTGTCTATAAATTCAAACAATTTTGTGTATTTATTTTTAAATCAAATCTCTCAAATACACTACATATGGCTCCCCTTTAAAAAAAATTTGAAAAACCTATTTACCCTTTTCTCACCCTCCATTCTCTATCTCTTTCCCCTAAAATTTTTTGAGTTTGTAAAAAGAGCCCTTTAACTTTTTTAACTTACAAAAAACACCCTAAAAATTTAAAATATATAAAAACATTTCCGAAATTTTAAAATACAAAAAATATACCATAAATCTAGGAACTATAAACAGGCCCCTAAAAGTTTAGAATTTGTAGAAAACACCTTAAAATTTGCAAAAAAAACACCTCAAAAATAAAAAATAATAAAAAACCAAAAAAATATCAAAATTGAGAAAAAAAAACCCTAAAATTTTCAAACTTACAAATAGCATATACCAAAAATCTATTGTGAACAGCCATTTAAAAATCTGTATCTACAAAAAAAAACACCCTATAAGTTTTAGTAATTGCAAAAAACTCCCTAAATATTTTTTTAGATAACCTAAGGAGATCAAAATATGAAAAATAGATGGTTGTAAGTTCTGATCTTTTTATAGTGTTTTGTAAATTTTTCATTCTGAGGGTGTTATTTACAGTTTTTAAAATATTCAGGGCGTTTTTTACAAATACTAAATTTTTTAGGGGCTATTCGTAATACATAGATTTATGATTTATTGTTTGTATTTTAAATTTCAGAATTTTTTTTATAAATTTTGAAAATACTTAGGGTATTTTTTACAATTCAAAAAATCATTATAAATTCAAAAAAATTCAGAGGGAAGGGAGAGGGAATGAAGGGAAAGAAAGGGATACAACAGAAATTATTTTAGAGGGGGTCCACATATTATCTACTGTATTTGGAAGATTGCGTTTAAAGATAAATACACACGGTTATTTGAGGTTATGGAAACAAATAAGACAACTTGGGTTTCAAAGTAAATCAAGATAAAACTTTGGGTTTAAAGATAAAAAACCCAATAAATAAACCCGTACAGATGGATTAACAATTGTGTTATAAAATTACAATAGTAGTTGTATTGGCAACTTTTATGAACCAATCAGCCCACCAAAAGAATAAAGGAAAGAATTGAATTACCAAATATCTTGACAGCTCCATCCTCAAACGCCGGAACCTGACCAAAAGGCTTATAAAAAACAAAAACAAAAAATCAATGAGAACCATACAAAAAAAAAAAATTTAAATCAATAGATAAAAAAAAAAAGTTTCTAATTTAAAATTGAACTGTATTTTTACATTGAGCGCGAGGAAATCAGGCTGCTTGTGAGCTCCAGCACGGAGATCAACTGGGACGAGCTCGAAATCTAACCCCTTCTCGTTGAGGGCAGCGATCACTCTTACTACATTAGGACTCAGAGTCACTCCATAAACCTTCAACCCCATTTTTTTTTTAAATTCTCTCTATTTAATTTTCTTTTTTCCTCTCTTTTTCTGATGACGATAAATTTTCGCTGTCGGCTACTTAGGATTATATAGAAAAAGGGAGAGGTTGCAGGGTGCTATGATCGTGTGATCTTTTTCTAATTCTCTAACAAAAGCATCTAGAAGGGGGTGGGTGGGACGTGCAGACAAACTTCGTTTTCTTCGAATTTTGTAAAATTTCTCCGTCCGCGGCCTACTTTAGTTGAATGATGCCAGTTTGTCAACCGAGCCACTGACATTTTATTAAGAAGTTCAGTTGTTGAGGTCCGACTCTTCTGGGAAGCACTCACATGAATTTAATTTTGTGAAATAGCCGACGCCGCAATACGTTGAGGGTGCCCCTTAGCCATGCCCAGTAGTTTGATATCATAGTCCAAAGGTTCATGGAGAAGTTATATTACCAAACCAACAAAAAAAAAAGTGATCGTTGGGTTGATACCAAACCAACAACAAAAAAAAGTGATCGTTGGGTTGATACAATAGATTGGGGTTTGCTATGTTCCTTCAAGGTCTGGTGTGGCAAAATCATGATAGGAGAAACTTGCTGATTGAGTTGGATGATTAAGGGCAAGTTTTGGAATTCATTTATTTTAACTTAGAAGATTAATTCGAAGATCTTGTTTAGTAAAAAAAATTAGTAACTTATTTTCTCTTATAAGGAGTAGTAAGTTAGGATTTCCAACTTTTTTATTTTTTTATTTTGAGCCTTTTTCTTATTTATATGGCCAAAAAAAAAACTATTTACTCTCTTACAAAAAAACAAGGCTTAATAGTAAGATTTCATAAAATAAGATCCGACAAATTTGGCCAACAATGATGGAAATGGAATGATGAGGCTTTGTAGGGAGTCATCTTGACTCGTCGAATTTTAAGGCTCCAAAACAAGCAAATATGTAAAAGGGTTAGTCTTGATTCCAGACTAAATCTCGTGTTACTCAATTCATAGATAAAACTAAAGAATATGTAGTGAGACTACGTGGGTGTGTGCTTGGGAAAATTGCTTAATCTAGTTTATTTTAAATTTAGTCCCTCTAGTTATTAGCTCAAAACTCCAGAGTTATAGTGAGAGTCAAGGATTATAGTCTTATGTTATAGTTTTATATTAATTCTAACATTATATTGCAAATTGAACGCCTTTTTTTATGGACCGAAACCTAGATTCACGTAGTGATTCAATTTTTAAAAAATCCGCTTAAAATTCATGGCTGGTTGCTCTGATATTATCTTAAATTTAGTCCTTTTAATCATTACATTAAAACTCTAAAGTTATGATGAGGATTGATGATTATAATTTTATATTAATTTTAACAATTTATTCATTAACCAGATAAATATTGGTCCAAGGTGGGAGGTGGTCTAATCCTAATCTAATTAAAAAAGGTAATTCAATCCTAATCTAATTAAAGAAGCAAAAAATGAAATAAAATGAACCGGTGGATCCTGCCCCTTAACTATTGACAGGTCCACCATGAGCAAAGTGAGGTCAAGTGACCAAAGTGGGCTCGTATGGTCGGCACTAGGGGCACACCACCAACCACAACTCCAACCACACCCTCTCTCTCATTTGTTACAGTGCACGGACCCCATATGAGATTTTAAAATTTTAAAATCTCATGTGGGGCCCGTGCACTGTAGCAAATGAGAGAGAATGTATGATTGGAGTTGTGGTTAAGGATGTGCCTCTATCATTTTTCATAGTCAAATGGCTAAAGTGCGGTCCAGTGTTGCTCGAGGAGAACTAGGATCCTACACTGAAAACCTTATCTTGAACTGTCACTTCACAAACAACCTTTTGGGTTGTTGACAAAATCCCTACTTAAAAGGGATAATTTTTAAAAAAGATGCTTTTAAGAAAATAATTAATAAAATCGATAGTTTTTTTTAATTATTAGCAAAACCGACATTTTTTTAAAAGATTACGACTTTGCAAAAAATCAGCTCTAAAATACGTGAGACTAATAGTCTTATTTATTTGTTTCTCATTAATTAAACCTTAAGCATTTTGGCAGAAATTATATGAGAGGATCATTTTATATTAACCATAATTAGTGATCATTAATTACACAAGACTATCTCGTATATTTTAAAGTCTGTATTTTATAAAATCGATCTCTTTTTTTGCCACTAAGAGGTCGATTTTGCTTATTATCTTTTCAAAAATAGTCTTTTTTTTTTTTTTAAAATTCTCCGCTTAAAACTCATCCATCAAAAAGATCCACTCCACTACTAAACTTGTGACCCTATCAGAGAGAAATAAAATCAACAAAACCCACAACTACGTTTGGGATTAACTACTTTTTCACTGGGTTTTTTAATATAAACCCCTTACATCTTTCTAAATCTCTCAAATTATTAAAATTACTATTATGTCCTCTAATTCTTAAATTATTTTGAAATTAGTCCCTTAAATCATTTAAATTGTCATTATGCCCACTAGTTTTTAAGTTATTATGAAATTAGCCCCTCAAATCAATAGTAAATTATCAATTAAAGTGTTTAGTATGAAACAAATTATGGTAAATGGGGGATTTAACAAAAGTTTTGATGATTTGATGGACTAATTTCTGCCTAATTGCAATGTTTACTTTTGATTGGAATGACTAATTTCAAAATAGCTTAAGATTTGACGGATCTAATACCAATTATAATGATTTGAGGGACTAAGTTTAACATAAATTATGAATTTAGGGGCCTAATAGTAATTTCAATGATTCAATTGACTAATTCAAAAATATAGAATATTTAAAGGATTAAATATCGAGAAAACTCTTTTTTAAAATATAAAAACTCGTCAAACATATTTCATATTTTTTTAATTATTAATTATATAGTAACACCACTTTTTAGAAATTGTAGATCCGCCACTACTCTTAACCAGGTTAGTATTTATGATATAAATGAATAAATGGAGGATTTATTTACAAATATTCTTTGTAGAGATAATATTTATATGGTTGGATTTCATAGATGAAAATTCATGCTTAATTACTAGTTTGTGAGTGTATAACAAAGTCATTAGAATGCACATATTTGCTATCATGCTAGCAAGCACGCGAGCGAGCAAGCTTGAGTGTGTGGGCTCGATCGAGCATGTGGGACGAGCATGGTCCTATATGTGCATTGGTGCGTGTTCTTTTTGTATGTGTTGAATTGAGCTAGTCGAACGTTACGAATGTTACAAGGCTTGAATAATAGTTAATGTGGGTTAATGCTGATTAATGTCCATTACTAACATTCAAAGCATAGTGTGACTACTGTTGTGCGTAGCAGAAATTTCCACAGTACCTCTGGTGCTCGACAAGAGAGTAGATCTTAACTAAATCGCTGTTTCAAAAAGGAAACAAGAACCGAAAGTAAAATATCTCAACAAAGTGGGATATCAGTTTTTCCTCTCATCAGTTCTAGGACTGACCTATCGAGGGAACCTAAACTCTCTATTACAAATCACGGCACGAACAATCAATTTTAACGTGGTTCGGCAAATTGCCTACGTCCACGGGGCAAGGAGGGGGTAAGATCTACTATTAGAGAAAGAGAATACAAACATGTTTACAATCACACAACTCTCACAAATTAAACCCTCAAATAACTCTCAAATCTCTCACAAATGGGATACCAAAAAAACCTCTCAAAAGGCCGCTGCTTTTTTTTCACCAAGCACAGTTGCCGCCTCGTTTTTCCCTTATGCCGACTTAAACCGCACCCCCTCTTTTTGCACGCAGCCAAAATCCCAAGTCAGCCAAAATCCCACTTGCCTCACTTCCCCAAAAAACCCTAAAAAATATAGCTATATATATAGCTGCGGGATCAAAGAATCGTGGAAAAACAGTTTGTGGGCCACCCATGAAATCTTTTCACGCGGTTTGCTACCGCGTTGGTGGATGTGTGGCCCCCACGAGAACTCACGCGTTCACAATTCTTCACCTCGGTGAAGTTTTCTTAAAATTGAGTCGGCACCAACCAAACCAAATGTCTCACTTGCTGCGTTCAGTACGAAGTGAAACAATTCACAATAACGGACTCAATCCACAACAAGTGGTATCAGAGCTCGGGCTACGTTTGGGCAATTTGGAGGAGTAGATCGCTTTGTAAGCTCATCTAGGTTTCAATTGGAGTTCAAGGTGGGATCTTTTTGGTAAATGCTATATCTTTCTCAAGTTTGGATCTATTCATCAGTTTGTTCCGCATTAGTTGTTGGTGTGTTGAGGAATATGGTCAGGTAAGAAGGTGTTGAGGGTGGTGCTTCTGGTGTGAAGACCATTCAAAATTTGAATATCCACTCTACAAAAATAGATGTGAAAAAATTTAATGGCACGAACAACTTTGGATTTTGGCGATGCAAAGGTTTGGATGCGCTGAACGCGTAAAATTTGGAAGATACTTTGGAGTTGGATGGCAAACCAGATGATATTGAAAAGAAGGTTTGGAAGAAGATGAATCGGACGGCGTGTGGTGTAATTAGGTCTTGTTTAACACAAGATTTGAAGTATGATGTGATGAATGAGACATCTGCAAAGAAGATTTGAGAGACCATTAAGAGCAAGTATTTGACCAAGAGTGTGGAAAATCGCTTGCATTTGAAGAAGAGGCTTTATCGCTTCCAATTGAAGAAGGGAACCTCCATTAGTGATCACATGAACCACTACACGAAGTTTCTTACGGATTTGACGAATGTGGATGTTATGATTGAAGATGAGGACAAGGTGTTGCTGTTGTTGAGTTCCTTGTCGAATAAGGTGAGCAACGAAAATTTTGACAGCACTTCTGGTGCTTGACAAGAGAATAGATCTCAACTAAATCCCTGTTTCACAAAGGAAACAAGAACCGAAAGTAAAATATCTTAACAAAGTGGGATATTAGCTCTTCTTCTTATCAATTCTAGGACTGACCTATCGAGGGAATCTAAACTCTCTATTACAAATCACGGCATAAACAATCAATTTTAACGTGGTTCGGCAAATTGTCTATGTCCACGGGGCAAAGAGGGGGGGATCTACTATTAGAGAAAGAGAATACAAATGGGTTTACAATCACACA